TTGATAAGTCAGTGACTTTTTTAATAAAACAAATTTTTTCGGCAAATAAACATTTTATTTTTCTACATAATCACCTTTTAGCTTACATTTACATTTATACATTTATTCCAGCGTTTTTCTAATTTTCTTATTCCCTCCAAATAAAAGGTTTTCTCAAAGCTCTCAAAATACGCGTTTGTTTCGGTAATGACTTCTTCATTCGACTCAAATCTCTTACCGCCCAGCCATTTATTTAGGTTTGAAAACAGAAAATAGTCGCAGGGGGCTAAATCTGGAGAATATGCTGGATGGGGTAGCAGTTTGTATCCCAATTCGTGGATTTGAGATCGTAATACTTAATCAGCTCACGAAATTCACTTTTTTCCATTTTCGCAAAAAATTCACGAGGTTGTCTGCTTTGAACGGCTATCAAACACCAACTGAACGACGTAGCTTGCTCAAAATTAGAAAGTTGCCCACTGGTAGATTACAGCTGACCGCAGCACTGTTGCATTTGGAGTAACTGCGCGGGAAATTCAAAAAGTCACTGATTTATCAAACCGCCCTCGTAGAAGTAGTAAATAGATATAGAACATTATTTTCATCAATCTTGTGAATTGCGATTAACTTAAAGCACATTAATCTCTTAAAAATAGCGCTATATAAATCAAATTTAACATTGTTCAAAACAAACACTAAATATATTTCAGATGTTTGAAATTTTGGATTGAAATCAAGTAAAGCCCTTTCAAAATCAAAAAGTCACTTAAACTACGATGTTCGAAATAATTATTTGCATTCGTTTATTTAAGTTGGAACAGTTAGGCACAACTGTTATATTTAATTTTATTAAAAACTCAAACTTTTTCAAATTGAAATAGTTGTTTTTGTCAAGTATCATATTTATATTTCCCCAAAACTTGAAACTGCAGATAACTAATTTTGATATCTCCAGAACAAGAGCAAAACATCAAAACTTATTCACATAACAATTTCAGCAATTTACTATTGTTATTTAGTTAATAAGCAACTGTAATGAAATTTTGTCATGTAAAATGTAATTTTTTCTGTATATGATCCAAAATTAAAAAAGAAAAAAGAACAAAAAAAAAACAAGAAACCGAATTTGTTCTTACTTAACAAAAAAGATGCCGGAAGCAGTTTCCTACATCATTTCATTTTAAATTAATTTTCCAATTTTTATATACGTTTTTGCTGTATTTAAGTTGCATTTGTTTCAACTTCTGAAAATTCTTAGCTTTGCAATTTTTCTTTTGCGAATTTTCAATTTTCCAACGACACAACTTTTTAATTGTTGTCGGCATTTTGCTAATCTTTGCTAAAGTTAAATGACACAATCTTCAAATGGCGGTTACATAAAATGTTACAACAACAGCAACAATAAAAACTATAACAACAACAACAACAACTATTGCTGCTGCTACATCTATATCTACAACAAAAAAAGACAACAATGCTGCAAACTACATCCATACAACAGATATATTGTACTACCGTATAAAGTGTGCGAGTAGAAACTTATGAAGCAAGGACATACATCCTTGAAGTGTATGAGTTTGGAAAAGTAAACGCAAACAGTCGCACGCAAACACTGTAGGATATGTATGAAAAAGGACATTAACAACTTATTTCTCAAGTGTTTAAACTTTAGGAAGATTTCTGAATGAACACGATAGAGTCGAGTCATACTTCTTCAGTGACTACCAAAAAGGACCAAAAAGGATGTTAAAGTTACAAGAAAGTTACGGAAAGCAGATACAAGTACACTTGAGAAATATTTGGCAACTTGAGATTGGTAGATTGGCAGAACGTTTGTATAACGCTGAATTGTAATTATATATTTATAAATATTTCTACACATGCTTCCCATGATTATGACTCTGCTCAAACTTTCTAAATGTTATGGCATTTCCACATAAACTGCATCCAAAAATTGGGAATTTTTATTTTGATTTTTATTTAAATGATTTAGTTCCAAAAAATAAATAAATATATTTTATAAAAGAATAAAATAACGATATAGTGGAATTCAATAATAAAGATTAATGCATAAAATAATGTAAATGAAATAAGTTTACAAAAATAGCACCTTCCGCTCAAAAAGTACCGGATTTTGTAAATAAAACACAAATTAAAATTTTATTCCAAATTTATTTTATATCCTTCAAAATATGCTTCTTCTGAAGCGATACACATATGCCAACGCTTAACCCAATCTTCCATACACTTTTCGTAGGCCCGTGCAGGTATGGCTTTTAGTTCCTTCGGCGAATTCTCTTTTACCGAATTAATCGACTCTAAACGCTTATCACGAAGAGGCAATTTGAGTTTCGGGAACAGGAAAAAGTCGCACGGGTCCAGATCTGGCAAATATGATGCCTGAGCGATGACAGTGGTGTCGTGTTTGGTCAAAAAATCGCGTACAACAAGAATTTTCCATAGTAAAAATCGCTAAATGCACTTGAGGTAGTCTTACATTAACTAAAACAAACTAATTGACTGATGGTGCTCAAATTTGTATCATATGTCAAGAAAGGGTGTACCAACATAACAAAAAAATGTTTGAAAAAGGTCTATTACTTAAGCAGTAGTTAACAAACAACAAAATCCGGATACTTTTTGAGCAGGTATGCGCATCAGAAGACCTTCTGAGATATTAAGTATACTAGGTGCATTGATAAATATATTATATTTTATGCTTATATATACCTAGTCTGTCAGCTTTTAGCTCGAAACATCGATTTCAACGATCTTTTAATATTTTCATAAATTTCTTTTGGAAAATTGTATTTTATACTTTAATATAGTCTGTCCCTTTTTAGCTCGACACATTGAGCTCAACGATCTATAAACATTTAAAAGCTATACCTTTTAAATATAACGATTTATAAAGTCTTCCAAGATATACCTTAGTTTCCCATTCCACTTCATAATTTGATGCAAATCTCTTTCCCTGGAGCTATCTTTTCAAGTTTGAAAACAGGTAATAGTCACTGAGAGCTAAATCTGAAGAAAAAGGTGGGTGAGAAAGCAATTCATACTGTAGGTCATTTAATTTTGCCATGGTTTTCATTGACGTGCGAGCGGGTGCGTTAACCTGCAAAAACAAAATTTTTTTTTTTCTACAAATGTGATTAGATTACCTTATTGCAATCGATCCAATTTTATTATTATCCAATGTTATTGCTTATGTTTTTTGCAAATGATCTATGAAAATTATTGCACTTCTGTTGCAAAATATGGAAGCTAAAACTTCTCCAGCC